AAATTGATAGTATACATTGTAGTATGTATGAAGTGTAGTGTGGCGGCTGAACATGTGGGGATAGACCCTTTACCCCGGAAAAGAGATTCAATTGTATTGGATCTCAGTGAGCAAATTACTCTGATATAGCACGATACAGCACGTCACTTAACCCTGGATTTACGTCTTTGCTATTACGTATCTAGGGTCCTAGGGTCCTAGGACATGTAGAATAGCAAGATAATTCGTATAGCAATAAACCCCAGAGTTTATATTGCACTCCAGTCCATAGGTAGCAAAAGACGGAAAAACAGAACAAGTCCCACAAAGATATATAAAACCACTATAACGCAAAGAGCAAATTCGACTTCCCCGGACCACAACACCGCCAACTCATCCCCTTCCCCACAAACCAGGGGAAAGGAAGAAAAATGAAATTGGCCTTCGCAGCACACGATCTGGAAAATAAGAAGGGTGGAGAGGATGTAGAGGTAGAGAGCCTGGGTGTATAGAGATACCCGGGCGAGAATAGAGAGGGATAGAGATTGAAATATCAAACGAGAGTGCCAGATCTGAAGTGCAGAAGCAAAGACCATCCCTAGAAGTCGAAAAAGCCACGGTCGGGAGAGCCGGGCGAACGAGAAGAGAAGGGTCGTGACATCGTCATTTGTCTGCGCTCATCCCTTTGGATTTAACCGGGATGAGTGCAGACACCATAGCAAAGCGATGGAAAAACAGAATGCTGATTCGGTACGCCTGATAAAGACCGTAGACTGGGGAGATGATACAAAGAAAAGAACGGAACGCAAAACAAAAAGCAAATTCTTCCATTTTGGCTTCACTCCTCGGTGCCAACGCCCTTCTTTTTGGGCTGAATATGCTTTTGTCTGGTATTTGCCCCAGGACCTTTTAACTCGAGTGTCGAGCTATCCTTAGCTGGGGTAGGCAAACGAGAACCAGCATCGTGCTTCTCAGTGAGGAGGTTCTTCAACCAGCGGTTCTCCATCTCGAGCTGTGCGACGCGAGCCTCGAGGGAAGCGTTCTTCTCGGTAGTTTCACGAACAGTGCGTTCGAGAACCTGTTCGCGCTGCTTCTTCTTCTGACGGAAGCGGGCGCTGGCGGCGGTATTTCGGCGACGACGATCTTCCTCTGCGGCACCGCGCACACTCTCCTCTTGATCGAGAGCGGCGGCGATACGGTCGCCGGAGATCGAGGTGCTGTACTTGGTGTTCCCCATTTGGCCGTTGGGCGGGGAGATGGATGAGGAAACATCGGATGGGGTGAGAGCGCCTTGTGCGTGGCCGAGCTCGTCGGGCGCATATGGCACTGGTGGGTAAATTGAGTGAGCTGAGTAGGGCATCATGTGCTCTGGGAGGTTGTAGTTGATGGGCTTCTCGCCGGGAGGGCCTATGAATAGAGTAAGCGATAGTCAATATAACCCCGAGGAATGAGCCCCATGGGTCGGGAAGTGCAAATCATATCCGAAGGATATAAGCTCAAGAAGGGCAAGGGGATGTGCAGTTTAGCGTCAGCAGGCAGCCACTGGCGTTTGCCATTTCATTGCGGGATTGCGTGCTCGCGATTGCAGGAGCACCGACGGTGATCTCTTCCATTGGGGGTGATGCATGTCCAGAACTCATATCCTGGCTTGCAGCGAGCTTTTAAATGACATTTGCACATTGTGTATGGGGAGAGGTTGGGCACCGGGCTAATCCGATGCCTTTCTTTTTATAAAAAAAAAACAGGGAAATCAAGCACAAAATGGAGAGATCAAAACTTCAATTTTCAGACATGGGGGATCTCAAGCCCGGAACTAAAGCTCAGACGCAGAGGCGCGATGGCGTAACAAATGCAACGTTGGGGCATTGAGAGAGGTCTCAAAAGCTTGATACGTACCATGATAGGGATAGCCTCGGAGATCGAGGGAGCTGCGGTCATCATCTATACTCTCATAGGAACTGACAGAGAGACCGCCCATGCCTTCAGTCTGGTCATAATCCATACTCACGTTGCCGAACGGGACCAGCCCGGTATCAGCGTCAAATGAGTACTGTCGAGTCTTGGCTGCGGGATCGTGACGCGACATTAAGAAATTGAAATTCTCAAGTTTGTCGAAGACTGGACCTGGACCTGGTAAAGGTGGTTGTTCTCCCATGATGTTGAAGAGAGAAAGAAGAAAAGAAGTTCAGCCCCCTTGACCTTTAGGGTTATGAGCTGTAAGAGAAGAGGGGCTTGTTTGGCAACCCCAGATCAGGATGGGATTTTCTATGAAGCAAATCAGAATAAAAAACAAAAAGGTCAATTAATATAACCAAGGCGAAAAAAGGTAAAATAAATAAAGTAAGACAAGGTGTAGTGTGTGTAAAAAAGACCGGGAAGTTGAGTTCTCGGCCACGATGTCGAAAAAGGTCACTTCATCGTCGCATGCCGCGGGAGTTCCACTACAAAAAGGGGAATTAATGGAGTTGATTAAAAAAAAAAGGGGGGGGGCAAAGAGGAACAAGAAGGAAAAAGACGGCCCTAGTCGATGATCTGATAGAATGGAGAAATGTCGTGATCGCGAGTTCTGGTTCGTCAGTTTGGACATTCACCGCTTTTATAGCATAGGCATAGTAGACAGGTCAGGATATAAGAATATCAAAATATCAGAATATCTATAAGAAATATAAGGAGATTAGGAGACTGTTTACAAAATAAAAAACAAGCTTCTCCAGACTGAGCTTTTTTAATGGGAAAGGGACCACATGACATTATCCACCTAGAGGGCTATACGGAGTACGTGGGTGATGAAATATATGCAGAGCATTAAAATCAAAAGAATCACAATTATACCTGTAACTGTCTAATTTCATGTATTATTTCATAGATGACGCGGACTTAGCCCCAGTATCCAACCCAGAAGCTTGGCAAAAGGAGGATCCCACTCTAGAAACATTCGATCGTCCACTATGACATATATTGTATGCTAATATTTTATTCAAGGCTTATTGTTGGTGCCTTTCAGCAATGATCTGAGCGGCATCTTCAACCGTCATACCTCGCACACGATGCTCCACTCTCTCCTCACCTAATACGGTATCTTCCGCAATGGTCCGATAGATCTCAGCAAATCCTCCATAAACATCGGCTCCGATCCCATTCCATCCACCCTCGGCATCAAACGCCTCCCCGATCCCACGCATTTCATCCTCCCACCGGTATGCCTTGGGACTCATACCAATCACCCCATTCGTCGCGAGCGCAGCAGTACGCGGGGAATATTCCTCTAGCAATGCCAACAACTCTGGCAACATCGACTCCTTCTGTGCAGTGGAGAAAGACAATATAGACAACGCGGTGAGACCTTTCGTCAATGCAGCGAAGGATAGTTTAAGCGTGGATGCGGCGCCAATCCGAGGCGAGACAAGCTTGATATTCAGAACGTCCGCCAGCGTTGTAAACGCAGGAGCCAGATCCACCACGCCCGACACCACCACACTAGGTTTTTTCCAGCTTCCGTCTTGCGTGCTTTGCGATGGCGGCCCCCCAATGATTCCGCCATCAAGGAAGTGGCACCCTCGGTTTGAATCCGTTGCTGTGGTTGGCTCGTCGAACTGCGCCGCCATCTCCGACACGAGTCGGGCGGGTACCGCGTTGAGTTCGAGGTAGTATAGCTTGGACCTCTTCGGCTTGCTTTCTACATCTTCCAGCGCCTCTCGGAGACTGCCGGTCGATGGCTGTGCGTACGCAACTGCTATTCGTCCGGCTGTTGCGACTGCATTCCGCGGTGGCACGATTGAAAGTACGTAGTCAGCTTGAATTACTAACGCTTGGTCTGAAGGAAGGATCTCAATCCCTGCTGAATGAATTCGCGCTAGTGTGTGTTCACTCGTGGGTGTTAGTCCTCGGTTGTGGTTTCCCTTTCTCTGGCGTACCTTCTTCCTTCTGCGACCGTGACGACTCGGTAGTCGTGGGCTTTTAGGAGTCTAGCCATGCCTAGGCCCATGTCTCCGATCGAGACAATTCCAACTGTAACGGGTCTCATGGTGCAGAGACTGTCTCTTGAGAGCTTAGGATGAATAGTTGTCTTTTCAAGTAAATCAGTAAACCATCGAGTACTTGTATCAACTTCTATTGCGGAGTACATAAGGTTGCGTTACTCAATTTGTCAGCGAGATCTGACTCCAGGGCTCGAGAGCTTCCATTTGAAGTTCTACCTAAAGTCGTACAATGCCGTTATCGTCGGGTTGTGTCCCGATCCCCAAATGTGCAATCGACCTCGGATGACTGGATTTAAGCTTATCTTCACGTTGCTTCTACCCTTCTAGAAAAGTCCTAGAGGCCTTCCAAGGTTTGAATTCTACGTCTATTATTAAGACGATCATTCCTCTTGCATACAGGTTGGAAAGAGGCGTTACTAGATACATACAACATACTACCCTTCCACTATTCCCTACTTATGATCCATTTCTCTCTCAAAATGGATGCGCAACCCCTACTCAGACAAAACAGCGTTCAAGCATCTTTATCAACAAGTCAAGGACTACGATGACAATCGAGACCGTTGATCTTTCAAAGCTAAATAACCAGACTTTGATTCCATTTTGAGAAATGTCCTCATAGAGTGTCCAACATCTCATGCTTGCAAGGCAATCCTATGATAAACGCATGATGATGCTGGGACCAGACTAGCGTACCACCATTCTCTAGAAGACGCAGGTACCGCATGTTTATCAGTGGTGATTTGACGAATATATACCTACCTAGGTACTTCTGCGTCCTATATTGTAGGCCGGCCCGAAGAATGGTGCCCTCTCATTGGACAGCGTGACGGGCCGTCACCAGCAAGCCCCGAGAAATTACTTTATCCTATTGGACAGTGCATATGTCATTCACGGGCGACCCGGCCCCGAAGTGAAATACGGCCTTGCGATTGGCTATATGATAGGTATGGTGAGCTGTTTGAGAAGTATATAACTACTAAGGTGAAATATATGGTATGATATTAAGAAAACATTCTCTTTATATCAATCTATCCTAATATGAGCACATCTAGCGACCCCGAAGAGGGCTTCCAAGAGACGAAAGATCTCGAAGCAGCCAAACCCACAACCCTAACCGACCCATCTCTCGATTCTGATGCCAACAAAGACCCGGATCTCATCACATGGAGCGGACCAGATGACCCAGAAAACCCCAAGAACTGGCCCAAGGGCTTGAAATGGAAGAACACCTGTGTGATCTCCCTTTTCGTCTTCATCTCGCCAGTCTCATCATCCATGATTGCCCCCGCCATGCAAGATCTCGGCAAGGCCCTTGGAATGCACTCCGATCTTGAGATATACCTATCTATGGCCATCTTCATCCTCGCCTACTCCATTGGCCCCATCTTCTTCGGTCCAGCCTCAGAGCTCTACGGCCGTGTACGTCTGCTTCAGGCTAGCAACGCGTGGTACCTAGCCTGGAATCTGGGCTGCGGTTTCGCCCAGACAAAGTCCCAACTCTTTGCTTTCCGCTTTCTTGCAGGAATTGGCGGCAGCGCACCGCTGGCAATTGGAGGAGGTGCGATTAGGTTAGCGAATCATTGAGATGTCGGAGAAACTCTACGTTTACTAACCAGTCTTGCTTGCAGCGACATGTGGAGCGCCGAAGAACGCGGAAAGGCCATGGGCGTATATACTCTCGGACCGCTTCTCGGGCCTGTCGTTGGACCCATTGCGGGTGGCTTTATTGCCCAGTACTCGACATGGCGCTGGGTTTTCTGGGCGACCTCGGCCACCGCTGCTGCGGTCCAAGTCGCAGGCTTTATCTGGCTGCAGGAGTGTCACCCGGCTACACTACTACGCAAACGACGCGACGTTCTTGTCCAGGAGACGGGAAACAACAATCTACATACCGATGAGAAGGTAGAGACACTTGTCTACAGGCTTCTGCATGCCTTTGAGCGACCGGTTCTTCTGTTCACAACACAGCCTATCGTCTTCTGCATGGCAATCTACATGGCCTACCTCTTTGGCATAACATATCTCATGCTTGCAACGTTCCCCGACATCTGGACCGAGATCTACCACGAGAGTTCCAGCATCGGCGGACTCAACTATATTTCTATTGCGATTGGATCATTTGCCGGCCTCTTCTTTAACCTCAAGCTAGTCGACCGAATCTACAAAACCCTCAAGGCACGAAACAACGGTGTCGGTAAGCCAGAGTACCGAATGCCGTCGTTAGCAGTGGGCTCTTTCATTAGCACAATCGGTCTCTTCTGGTACGGTTGGAGTATCGGAAATACGCACTGGATCATGCCCAACATCGGGGCTCTGATCTTTACTGCAGGCACGATCTCCTGTTTGCAGGGTATGCAGACGTATATCGTCGATAGCTACGAAACCTATGCAGCGAGTGCTATGGCGGCTTGCGCTATTCTGCGCAGTTTGTGTGGCTTTGCGTTCCCGCTCTTCGCTCCTTATATGTATTCAGCTCTCGGGTATGGATGGGGCACGAGTGTGCTGGCCTTCATTACCATGGCTATTGGCTGGTCGGCACCTTTTGTGTTTTATTTCTTTGGACCTAAGCTCCGTGCCATTTCCAGGTACGCTGCTGGTTAAGTCATGGGTGGATTCTTATATGTGAGGGTGTGCTGAACGCAGCAGACTGTTTCAAATACCCAAGTTTTTGAGTATTTGGCAGACCGGGGTTTTAGCTCTTCAAGGCCAACAGTGCGGGAATATGTAATTAATTATAAATTGTTGTACTCCACTCAGTTAGGTATTATCAGACAATTAGTACTGAAAAAAGACATCTTATACCACCCATGATAGTCATGAGTGTATGCATTTCCGTTTCTTATGCCGATGCCACAGAGGCGCCACCGAGTGAACTCATAACTATATGCTACAGACTGGCATGGACACAACATCCTCTCAGCAGCGCCGTCTAGCGGGATTGAATATCCACCGCTTAGAATATTAGCAGTGGGTCAAGCAGCAAGATAGTCCCGGTATCAATCCCCGCCTATGGCATTTACACCATCTATAGAAAATATCAACCCCATATATTCATAACCTCTGCTGGAGACATCGACCCCTACTTCCCTCTTGGTAGTGTGCTATATTGAAGGGAGTATACGAACCTGTTCAACAACTCTCCTTTTTGAGCTATCCTATGAAGTCTACGCAGACTTTGGGCAGACTTCTGGCTTGCATAGAGTCCCGCGGAGAGAAGCCGCCCACTCAGCCCAACTCTCGACACAGTTGATCCCAGAAGACCCAATCTGAAGGATCAAACCCACCATTTGAATCCAGACCTGTCCCGTCAATGTTCCCGATTTTTTCACCAAAACCACATACACCGTCCGCAAGCATAGTGGTCCCCTCTCTTCCACCCATGCTCTCCTGTTGCCTACTCATGTTTGGTTCGTGTTGGGCACGCAGTGCGGTTATGAACGCCGGCTCCGGGAACGACTGACTTGGAGGATTCGCAAGCCAGGCCTTGAGAGTTATCTTACCGATTGTGACGTGCAGAGTTTTTCTGCCTTTGGCAAGTTCTTCGTAATTTGAATAGACATCTGCAACCCTGTTCCAAGAAGTATCAAGCTCCAAGGTCGAGTAGAATCTGACATCTGCGATGCTACGTAAGATGCAGAGAAGGGCATCCCACAGGAAGAAACCTTGCATCTGCCATCGATACTTTTGCATGTTAGGGTTTGCATAGATGGCGCTCGTTGTATCGAGGATCCTTGCTGCAAGCGCACAAATATCTCTCCTTTGCGCGTCTGTAGTGGTTTGCGCCATCAGTAGCGGCATTCGAGCCCGTAGTCGAACAGCATTGATTGCAGATCGGGTGATACCAGTCGTAAAAAAGTGCAAGGGGTTCAGTATATCGCAGTATCGAAGGAATTTAGTCTCGATGAGATCTTCGACCTCATTAATGAGTCTCTCGATGTCCTCTGCATCCCTAAACTGAATTGTGGCACCGATTTCTTTCAATTTGACGCCAGTTTGATTATAAAAATTTGATAGTTCGATCCGAGATAAGGCGAAGATCATTTCTGTAGCACTTCGCTGTTCAAGGGGTGGCTCTGTCATACCAGGGAAAATCTGATCATCGTTGATATTCAAGGGTGGTTTAGTATCCCAGCTATTCGGTGATATCATGATACCAGTGCCGGAAACCTGGCCCGCATAGCTGTCGAGCGGAAGAAGTTGCCAAAAGAGTCTCCGTCGCATTTGAACCTCAAACGGTGGCAATCCGAGGTTCTCACCATCACGGTGAATCCCCATGCGTTGTGCGAGGCGAATCGCAATACCCGTCAAAATCCAAAACGTGTCGGAATCTAGTTGAGTCCTCATGGCAATGAGGAACAGTGTGTAGGCCTGTAGTACCAGCGTTGATGTTGTTTTCAGCCATGACGCATTGATAAGTGCCTGGCATACAGAGGTCCGATATTTCGACACCAAGTCGTTCCTCGATTGATTGAATTGTTGCAAACAGTCAGCGTCCGACATGGAGAACACGGCGAAGTAGTAGATGACAAAAAGCAGACATTCGTCGTCTTTTGAGGCAACGGAGGGTTGTTTTGAAACGGTGTCGACCATTTTTGCGACAGTTGGAATATGAAGGACCTTGCACAGAGGCTCCACGTTTTGCACATACACATTCCAGAGCTTGGTCATCTCCTCATAGCCGGGATGTTGGGCGGCGATGCTCTGTGTGTTTCCAAGTATGGCTCCAGAGATGGTGTGCGCCACGAGGATACCAAGAGGGCCCGTAGATATGCTCTCATCAGCTCCGGCGTCCTGGTGGGGTCTGTTATCCTGGTCGGAATCGGATACTTCACACAGGTCACCCTCTTCAGTGAGGACACTGTCAATATAACGAGACTTGCCATCGGTGGACAGAAGTTTACCCGAGCTGGCGGGTTGCGAGCTAGGTGTGCTAACCACTGATGTCTCCATCTTCTGGCCGTATTGGGTCAACGGAGAGGATGTATGGAGAAGGTTGTTGTCATGCAAAATACGCTCGTACTGCGCTAATCGCTCTTCCATATCTTCGATCTGGCTTCGCTGTCTCTTTCGTGCTGCGGGAGCCTGATAGATGCACTGAAGTTTTGCTTTGCTGCAGCGCAAACATGTTGGCACCGTCTTATCACATTTGATTTTCTTGCGCACGCAAGCTTGGCAGTTGAAGCTCATTGTGGTCAATTCAGGGCTATGGCTATCCTGGTCAGTGATATAGGGTGTCCGAACTGGTGCGGGAGCAATTGGAACCAGGCGCGAGGCGACAGAAGCAACGTCCATGACTTCAAGGTAGCGCCGATAACCTCAGCGCTTCACGGCTCTCATGATACAGTGTGAAATATTTATGAATACACGACGAGATCTAGGTCTTGGCGATATCAGAAAAATTGTCCGCTCAGAAGAAGGTTCACCATTAATATTACTAGACGTAGTAATATGACCTCGTGAGGCCAGCCGGAAGGCCCCCGGCCCCCGGCCCCCACATTGGTACTGTTGACCGCTCTATAATTTCAACACATCGACCACCTAGGCACTAACCTGCCATCCTTCTCCCATCATCAGCTGGGCCAAGATTCCGACAGTCGGCTCCCCGCGCAGGATCCTAACAATATCAAGCAAAAATGCATTCAACCCTTACTTTCATTGATGGACGTTCTTTCGTTGATCTTTAGCTCTGGGCCTACTAGCCTGTCGAGGATTTTGACAGCTACAGCGGATGCAGAATTGTCCATACCCTACAGCCGAACAAATCGTGAACGATTTTCTGATGACCTATGTCAAGACTCTTACAATCATGTTCCGAGCGCGGCCTACCGATAGATTTCAGGTCGCAAACCTTTTGGTACTCTGGCTTTAGTCATATCCAAGCAAATGGGTGCTGCACTAAGGGTTATCTCGAAGGCTATTTCGAAGGACGCTATATCCGCGAAGTCTTCACAATTGTCGAGGTGAAAGCAGTGCACCGAGCCCGGAAATCCCGTCCTGATTCTTTAGCAAGAAACTGCCAGATGGCTGCATATTATCAATTATGCAAATTCCTGACAGTGTCGTCTTGGCTGCAGGCTCGATAATAGCATAATGTTGAAGGTCTATATGTTATCAAGCACTTGTTGATGCCTATGATCTCACAAGATCAGAATGGGATATATCGAACGCCTACCAGCTATTCCCAGGAATGTCTCAAACATATGGGACCACCTTGAGAGGCATACTTGGCTGTGGGTATCGTGCCTTCATTTCACCTGTGGATTCAGGTCAAATGGTGTCACATGCCAGAACTTATAGGTTTTGTCAGGGCAGAATTCCAACTTCTACTAGGTAAGTTGTCCGTTCTCTGTTTTATATCTTGGCTAATTGTCCGCTCGTCTATAATTACTAGGTTAATCGGCAAAAACAGGGATAATCGGGAAAAACTCCACTATAAAAAAAGGTATAAAAATCACAACTTTTCTATGTACAAAATAGGAACCTCGGCATCTCTGAGTCGCTGACTAAACGGCTTATTCGCCTCCTGATTGGTCATAAATTCGAGTACATACTTTATGTAGGCTTTGCGAGGTCTGTTGACGACGTAGGGCTTTGATTTATTCTGATTCATCTGCCTAGAGTCAAGATGATATCAAGGGCATTATACAGAATATATAAGATATGACAGTCCTCTTTTTTCATGGTTCTTCTATGTCTTTTATATCTTTTTTTTCGGAATACTTTTTCCTTGTGTTATAGGCAGAAAAGTTACAATTAGCCATAGAGCTATGGATTATCAAGAATAGGAATAGCAAGTAAATATGCGTATCATACCATGATATGTATACACCTGGGCAATATATAAAATGTGTATGGATAAGCTTATGGGCGCACCTGACCCCGCCCACCAAAGTACGAAACGGAATCCGTGAATCCCGACATCCGTGTGTGCTTTGATTATTCATCTCCTTTTTTTTGTCTTTGGTTCTCTTGCAGATTATGAACATCACATCAACATCAAAATAAGAAACAGGGATCTCCCGCTAGTCTTTGCCATTTCCGCGGGGGCGACTTTTTCACAAAGTCTTGGCACATTCATGACTCCCAAGGCAATCCACAACCCTCGGAAGGCAAGGCAATGAACCAGTCATCTTCCCAGAGCGCATTGCCCATGGATTCTGCGCTATGGAGAGGTCAATACTTGAAGGTGGGTTTTGCTTGTAGCTCCGAGTTCCACTATCCCGGTGGACTCCGGTTTGGGGGTTCCAGCCTTGCTAACAGTAATATAACGCCTATCTAGGCTTGTGAGAGGTGTCATCGAAAAAAGATCAAGTGCGAAGTTGAAGGGTCTAATCCAATCTGCGCGCAATGTATGCGCCATAATGCACATTGTGTCTTTGCGGTTCAACATGAGAAGCGGGATGATCAGCAAAGGTACGGCGATTTCCGTTGATATTCCGAATCTGCTTTTCATCCATCGTGGCTAACGATATCATAGTAGTGACGAGTATGTCAAAACTTTGAAAGACCGCCTCGTCAGGGTTGAGTCGTTGCTGAGGACGGCAGGCATCTTGCAAGAGGGCGATATGAGCCCTGACGAGTTTTCCGATGAAGATGATGACGGACCAGCTAGTCCAGACATCTCATCTGTTTCCAGCCCAAAGTCAAATCTTGCGGCCTCTCTTCGCTCAACTTGTGGAGACATCGAGGGTACGCCCATCTTTCGGGCGGACCAAAGAGACGATTCTCGATATTTCGGTAAGATAAGGAGTATGACCGATGCAATATAAAACCACCGGGGCTAACTTAACGAACAGGTAAATCGTGCTCATTGTCAATCCTATCACGAACAGGTATAGAGTGGATCAAGAGCAAAACAGGCGATGTCAGCTTCTTGCGAATTATATCTCCGGAATCCCTTCATGAAAATCCGTGGAATCAATGGCGACCAGACGTTTTCCATGATCTGTTTGCCTCGCAGGTTTTTAAGCCTTTGCCCCCAAGGTCGGAGGTGTTCTCTCTTATGAAAGATTTCTTCCGGACGGCCAACCGTCTGTTCCCTATCTATCTTGAGTCGTCATTTATGAAAATGGTCGAATGGCAATATACGCAGCAAACTTGTGATGATGCTGCCCGTTGGGCCAACATCAACATGGTAATATGTCTAGCATACGAGTACCGATTTTCCAATGGCTCCAAGTCAGAAAGGGACAAGGAGAAGTCGGAGTTATACTTCAAAAATGCCATGTCGGTCTTCACGGAGTTAGCCTTAAAGCGAACCGATCTACTGAGTATACAGGCTTTGCTTAGCATGGTACGTCTCGTGCTTCTTTGACTCCTATGGAATCATCTAATAATTTGGCAAGTCATTCTTTCTTCGGGGAAATTCCGGAACTCAATCAGCTCTGCCTCTCATTACTGCAGCTATGCGGTCTGCTCACCGAATGGGACTTCATCGAGATATCGCAAGACCAGAACTGAGTCCAGCTGAGCGTGAGGAGAGACGGCGGGTCTTTTGGGTTGCATTTGTCATTGACCAAAGGTAAGAGAAGTCCATTCAGGTGTCGATTTCACGTACTAAAACAATCGTCCAGTACCTGCCTAAGAATTGGAAATGCCCCATCACAACACCAAGATGATTTCGATGTCCCTCTTCCGGAAGAACTGGAGAGCGATAAGCATGGTGAAACCGCAAGCAATATTCCATTCTTCCGCCAGCTCTGTCGGATGGCGCTCATCAAGAGCCACATTTACAGTCGATTGTACTCTGCTACGGCATTAACAAAACCTCCCGTTGAAATATACAAGGCGGTTAAAGAACTAGATGCAGAGCTTGAAGAATGGAAACGTGAAACCCCAAGTCTCACCGAACCGGATATTAAACCTACTGGACGCGACTTCCTGTTTGGCTTTGCCTCTATTGGTCTCCATTTTGTCTATCAGAATGCCTTGATCATGATTCACAGAGTACCTATCTTTCTTAACTACATGATAACAGCCAACAAGGAATCAGAGAAGGTCGTGTCAATCAGCAAAGCACGAGCCTCTAAATCATCAGCCATTAGTTCACAGGCTGCCCGAGATACCTTGAAGGTTGTCAATAACATGCCATGGGGAGATATCGCTTGGACCTGGTAAGTACAACAGTCCACTCTTGATATATATGAGATCTATTTCTCACAGTCAAACCTCAGGTCATTACTATACTATGTCTTCCTGGCAGCATCAACATTATTCTCAAGTATTCTACGGGATACTCGCAATTCAAAAGCCCGAGCAGATCTCCAATCTCTGAACATGGCCTCAACATTCTTTGCAACTCTCGCCCCAGGTGACGGACCAAATAATTACGCCGGTTTCATGACCCGCATGAGCGCGGCTCTCGAACGCATCGCCAGAACCGCCGTCGAAAAAGATGAGAAAAGAGCCCGCGCCCCAGAGGGAGAAGACCAAGAATATAAACCGCCAGGAGCCAAGAAGCGCACCTCTCGAACACAGCCAGCACACCAACGGCAGCACCGCCGACCCACAACACTCCGCACAACAATGACCCAGGCCACAGCCCCAACGTCAAGCACCGCGAACCCCAACAGGATGGACTTCAGTATCCCCGATACCCTAGAAGGCCTCCCTCCAGTCAATTCTTTAGGCTACGTCGTCCCCATGAGCCCAGCGCCAGGCCCAGGCGACAACCTCCAAACCGAATCCCCATATCTCTCCAACCTACCGAACACATACCCACCTTCAACGACGAGCCTAGATGGCACATTCCTCCGCAATGCAGGCGATAATACCTTCAACACACCAATCTCATCCTGGCAACTATCCGAAGACTATTCTACAACCGCCCAGGCCCCAGGGCCATCAGTCCTAACCCCCAACCCCATTAATTCCATCAACTCCCCAGACTCCTTCAGCAGCACCGCCAACTCGATCCCCGATTTCTTCCAGAACCCAATGAGCGGCGACTGGGGCCATGGCGGAAATAGTATCTTCGCCGGACTCTTCCCAACAGAATACAGTTTTCCGGCCCCTGTTCCAGCGGGCACTCAGCCTGCCGATACATATCCCTCCATGCCGGTTCTATCGGCTGAGTCGTATATCCATGGTGCGCCTGCTATTGGGGGCCATACGGCTCAGGCTGGTGGGTTCCATCCTCAGAGTCTGGGGTATGGCTATGTGCCACAGGGTCAGGAGGATCCGAATCAGGGGGCTGATCCGGTCTGGCCTAATGGGTTTTTGGGGTTGTTTTAGGGATAGATTGATCGGGGTGTTTTTGGATTTGTTCTTGTTAGCGTTGTCTTTACCCATGG